TAACAGAGACTTTTCAAACTACTTATACAAACCTTAATCCTTAAACGCGGCGAATGCCGTGTACAACTTTAAAGCTGCACCAAATAACATTGTTCGCAACCTCTATATTGTTTCCACAGAAGCGCCCTCAACTAAACCCAGTGTCCTCAAACTGTAATCCCTTCCTTTTCAACGCCCGGTATTTCCACGAGTGTGCGAAGATGCTTACAGGGGGAGGGGGGAAACGAGGCACCTTTCATCTGATCCCGACAAAATAACTCAATCTCGAAAGCAATCTGAGCAAGTAAGCAAATGCTTAATTAACCGTGTGCTACCTATTTACAACGTGGCTTGTTTCCCTGTTTAAAGATTAGCGACGCGATCAAATTTGACACGCCTCCGTATCAGAATATCTGATATCTGTGCTAATTGGCTTACTTCTTTCTTTTTCTTCTTGTCAATAGAAAATAGCGATAAAATACCTGATTTCGCTTTAATTAAGAATCAAAAACGGAGACCAGAACGTTTGAGAGTAAATCGTTTTGTGAAAAAAAAAGTGACGAGTTTTATCGGTCAAAAAGTGGTAGATGAAAAAAAAAAAAAACGAGGTATATCGAATATATATAATCTCTAACTTTCTAACGAGAAAATAAAAAAAAAAAATCTAAAAGTGATTAAAACTTTTCTTCGTTTCCGGTAAGAATTATATAACCCAATTCTTATCGCCACTAAATATTCCATATTCCCGTGAGTAATTTATCTTTCAACGAATGTCTTAAGGGATCACTTTCAAGAACGAATCGGGAACACCGAACGCGAAAACCGTGCTCGTAATTCACACTGTACCCCCACTCCCCCAACGACCCGACTATATAGCATTCTCGTATCGCCATTGTCGAAACCGAGCGCAATAGAGACGAGGCGAAATCCCAGGAGGAGCTATGGCTGGCCTTGTGTAGCTCCTCTTTAATCCACGGATACGAGATGGTAAATAGTTGAAGACAGAACTTTTGTTGGGGAACCGTTGCACCGTAACGAAACGGGGCCTATTATCGGTAGATGAACGGCGAGAGCCAGGCTTTTTTTGCCGGGGTGCGTCGTCGCGACGCCCTCGTCGCGACACCGGAATCGGTGAACATGGAGGAACGCTGAATCACCGTTTTCCATAATGCGAACGGGGTATTAATTGCCCGTGACAATCGCGATTTAGTCAGTCTTAATTGATAATAGCTAATGCCGAGTAAATGGGAACCGGCACGAGCAATTAAATCAACCAATCGTGTGCGAATCGATCCGTTTTAGCGTATCCTCGTTAGAGATGTGATCGAATTTATCCATTTATAAGACGTTGTTGATATACTGAGTCAACTACTTTTTAAAAAGTTGATTGTTTCTAGAACAAGGATAAGAGTTGATACGCAAAACTTGATTATTTAAGTTATTTACTAAGTTATGAGCAATTTAATTTTACGTTGTAAACGCCTGTGGGCGAATAACGCCAGCAGTATCGTATCGCAGTGGAGCTTAGATGGAATCGACGAAAATTTTAAAAACGTATATTCGTATCATTTAATTATTTTGAATTTGATCATTTAGATCTAAAATTATATATATATATATATATATATATATATATATATATATATA